CGACTAACCGACAGCAGTGGTCTTGTGGCCATTTCTTATCATGTCAGAATGTTTGAAAAAGTATGCATGAGCACTTAGATTGTGTACTCTGTGTGTTGATCATAGAGGTTATTTTTCTTTCCCTCCCCCCAAGTAGGCCCGATCGCTCTCTTCATCACTTGATTTGTGTACATTGTGAGCTTGGCAACGATCAGTGAAGCTCGCTTCAAGTGACTGCAAATATGGCATTCGTCAGCATTGTTCCATCGGTTACCTGCTGTCTCTTGTCTCACAATCGTGGTCGGCTGCACTTGATAACCACGGGGAGGTGCATCGGACGTTTGACCCCGTCCAATGGGCGTATGATCTAAACTGGACACCGGCCCCAGTGGACTACGGTTTTCACAAACTGTCCCACTGCCTTGCGGGCCAGAATTAGGCTAACTGAAGCCCCCGGTTTGTGGGGTCCCCAACAAATTTCACTTGCCTTGACCTGGAAAACCTAGCAATATCGTGCTCTTCAGCAAAGCATGAACCTTTATTATAAAGATTATTGTGATTCGTTTGGCACACAGTCCGAACTCAGGTGTGTGTGTGTGTGTGTGAAAATCAAAAAATATAATTGCACAATGTGAATAACAGTAAAAAGTGAAATCCCCATAGTTAAGGCACATACTGTAAATGGGAGAGTAGTTAAACCGTCAAGTAGGATCCGGCTTGTTGATTCTGCGTTTAAACAGTACAAGGTAATAAATGGGCAAAAGATAAAAGTGAGTGTTCCACAACTTGGCAATTCGGGGAAAAAGAAGATTGAAAATTTGATATCCACGATGCCAGGGAAATCGAACATGGACGGTTTCGCTAGTGGACCTTCGGGCCAAACTCCATCGAGAGCTTTTGAGATATCAGGCGAGATCAAGCGTGTTTCTCCGTGGTTATCAAATGCAGCCGACCACGATTGTGAGACAAGAGCCAGCAAGTAACCGATGGAACAATGCTGACGAATGCCATATTTGCAGTCACTTGGTGGTCCCCAACGTTCGAGGAACGCTCGCAGTTATTCGGAGGTGATGGTTTCAAATACTTTGGGAAGAACAGATATCAGGGAAATGGGTCAGTAGTTATTGCGATTAGAAATTTCACCGCGTTTGGGGACGGAAAACATCACGTTGTGTTCCCGATGGGTTGGAGAAGTAGATAGTTGGAGCGTAAAACAGGAACCAACTCGGGAGGACGATGGATGGAATACCGCCCGGAACGAGTGGTTTATTTGCGTTTAGGAAGTGTAGTTTTCGGAGGATTTTCCTAATGCGATAAGAAAGGTTGACGGCAAAATGGGAAGAAGATGGAGGAGTGGGGTAATCGAGTAAGATGCAGTTGGTGGTAAAACCTCAGCATTCTCGTGACGGTAATATACAGTAATCCTCGATACAGGGAAGGTTGGAAGGGTAGAAATAACGGGAAATTGCTTTGACAAGGGATCGAAATATTCGGCTGCCGGTGGCAGACGAGATCGCGTTGCACAGCATACAGAGCGTTCTTTGGTTCTCGTATTGATTGTCGAGCACCTGCTCCTAGCTTGCACGAAACAGTGGTTGGAATTGGGAGTGGCGATCGGTGGCATCAACAGAAGGCCAAACGTTGAAGCGAACAGCACGATCACATGCGTGATTGAACTACTCGTGTGATTTGAGTTTGCTGGGTTTGGAAAAGTGCGG